GGGAGGGCAGGCATACATATGGAGGCCGAAGCAGGTTTCCCAGCATTCGCTGGCGGAAGCTAGAGGAGCTGACTTTGTCTTCTTCATTGTCCTTGTGGTTTTGGTCCTTTAGCAGCTGGATCTGATACAAGGCAAGCTCCTCCAGGTCCTGCGGTAAGAGAGGAGGGATGAGGAGAGGGAAGGAGGGACAGGATGACAGTGACACCCGAGCTGCCCCCCACAACACTGCTCCCGTATCCTCCCCTAGGTACTCCAGAGGTAGAGCCTGCGTCCAAGGGCAAGCTGGGAACCACCCTAAGCCCTTTCTTCCCTCCTCTAAGGTCATGGTACTTCCAACAGTCCCCCAACGTGGCCTTCCCCATCCCATCCACTCCCTCTGCCAGTCTCCCTCAGGGGTTACATTCTCAAGGCGGAAGCGGTTGACGGCCATCCCCCCACGATAGGTCTCCTCGCTGACCACCAGGAACTCCAAGGAGGGGTTAGAGCCAGCGGGCCCATAGGGGTCCAGCAGGGGGATGATATCAAAAGTCAAGGAGGGCTTGACGTCCACCAGGAACTCACTCAGATGTTCCACACGTTCTGCGTAGGGTTGGAGCAGCTCAGGGAGTAACTTGCCTGGGGAAGGAGCCCCAAAAACAGTGAGATCTTTTTATTGGGGAGGAAAGGTATAGGCAAGTTTGGGGAAGACTGACCCTAAGCATCCAATCTCCAGATGGGGGTGGGTGGCAGGAAGAAAGGGCTAAGCTGGGAAGTGGTCTGTGTCAGGGGAACTATGAAGACGGGGCAGCCAGCAAGCACAACAGTCATGACAGGGGCTGGCCTGTGCCCAGAGAACTAGCAGTGCCACCATCAGAGTCAGATGGAGAATTCCAAGAACCACCCAACCACGAGTCCCCTCTTGCTGTGTCTCTGGCACAACTACCTACAACCCACTCATCCATTTATTGCCAGGGTCTCAATCTTTAGGGTTCATCACCAGAGAACTTCTTAAAAGTGCAGACTCCTTGGCTCCACATTTGGGGGAATTCTGATTTGAGTGGTGACAACACACTGAGAAAGCTACACTTACTCATTTAACGTAATTTCCTTAGCACCAACTGAGTGCCAGGCACTGCGACATTTGGGAGGGGTGGAAAGTAAAGGATGGCCCCACTGTTCATCAGTCATGAACTGGGGGCGAGGTTAAGGAGTTTTGAGGGCCTTCCCCGCTCTATTCCAGGGTCTCTCTCACTCACTCTTCAACAGGTCTTTGTCTGCTACTCCCACCACAAGCTGCTCCTGGGCCAGGATGCACGCGACACTGAGCAACACCTTGTGAGCATTGTGTAAGCGGTCAAACGTGCCACCCACAGCCCCACGGTGGTAGCCACGCACTGGCTGCTTTGGAGACCTGGCCACGGGGGAGGCTGGCCTGATGGTGGAGGGTAAGGGGACATCCAGGGACTCCACAGGCAGCTCTCCGGACCCATAATCGGGGTATAGCAGCACCGAAGCCAGTTGGGGACAACAACTGTAGCAGCTGGTGGCATAACGCTCTAGCTGTTGCTTGACCGGGTTGTACTGGCTTCCATCCAGGGTCTGGAAGTCAGTCAGCACCACTTCCGGTGGGTGGGCCAGGTTCTGGACTGAGCTGGGCAGGGAAGGGAGAGAGGCGCTCTTGGCTCCGATATTGGTCAGCAGGATTCTGACGTCCAGGTGCCTGTGGACGTCGGCGCCAGCGTAGAGGTGTGCGATGAAATCCAGGACCTCAAACGTGGCCTGCACGAGGCTGGACTGGGGCTGAGCTGGGCCCCCGAGGCTCATGCCCGGCTGCAGGTGTACATAGAGGGTGTGATTCACCAGCCGGGCCGCCGAGGTCAGGATGGGGGACAGGCGAGGGGCCAGGGAGGCCAGGGGCGTCGTCAGCACCAGGAGGCCCGACCGGAATACGGCCATGCTGCCCAGGCCTGCGGACAGCCAGGGAGACGAGGCGTGGGTGACTGAGGGGTTATGTGGCTCAGGCTGAAAACAAGGGAGGGGACCTGGCGCAGGGACGGGGTCTGTGCTGATCCAGAGGAAACCGGGGGAGGACACGGGGCCTGCTACACGGCGCTTAGGGGCTATGCCCTAAGCCGCGGTTTTCACATTTCTCAGACGGAGTGGTGAAGTCGCTGAACTGAATCGAAATCCTGGGCGGGGAAACTAGGCTGGACAAGAGCCCCTGAGTCATAGGGCTGGGGACCCAGAAATCCTGGGCCCTACTGCCAGGCTGTACCCGGGTCTTCAGAGACTCGAAGGAGGGGACTAGAGGAAAACGCTCAGGCTCGGATCGGTCTCCCACTTACTGAGACCTCTGGGCTTAGGTTCCGCGAGCGCCGCCGCGGAGGCTTACCTGGCCGCGACCCGGAAACGGTAGTTTAGCGGCTGCGTCTTCGAGCTACGGAACGGCGGAAAGGCCAAAGCCTCCGCTCGGTTCGGGATCTCGCGAGATTTTGTAGTGGGGCTAGTCCGGCCGAGGGGGCGGGGCCGAACTCGGGCTTGGGAGGCGGGTGAAGCCTTATTTCCAGATCCCAGCCGATAGGGATCTGGAGCGTGGAGGGCAAGGCGGACCCGAAAGCGTTTTGCGGATGTCCTTTAGACCCTGAGAGAGGAGGATGGCTTCAGCCAGGTCACCCAGGAGACAGCGGCAAAGGCAGAACTAACACCTGGCTTTCCTCTTAATAAATTACAGAGGTGGGGGTCACAAGGTGGCACTTAAATCAGGACTCAGAGTCCCCGCAGCCCTCCTGGCGCCCTCCCAGTCCGAAGATCCCCCTGTGGGAGGCCACAGGACAACTCTGCCCGAGTCCCCATTTCACAGTTGGGGAAATTGAGGTCCTCTATGTTCCAGGAACATATAAGGAAGTAATGGCAGAGGTCTTGTGGCTCTGTGGGGAGCTCTCCACACCACCCAGAGCCAGTTTGAGGGAGAGAGGAGGAGAGCTCTGCATCACAGCTCAGTAGAGTTGCCAGAGGATGTTCTCCAGACAGGAGAAAGGGAGGAGGGGGAGACCTAGTGGCAAGGGTTTACTGTGAAGCTAACGGGGCTGGAAAGGCTGGAATTGGTAGTCTCCCTGGGGAGAGGAAGTCAGGTTGCCATCAGGAGATATTTCAAATAAAGTGTCCACAGAGATCTCAAAAGGGAGGGAAACCAATTTCCAAAGATTCCAGTAATGTGCTGTGGTTTATTTTCCCAAACTAAACAAATGCTCATTTTCATAATTATGGGGGTTTGTTTTGTATTCCTTTTTTAAAAAGGATTTTATTTATTTATTTGAGACAGCCAGCAAAACAGGGGGGAAGGGCAGAGGGAAAGGGAGAAGCAGGCTCCCCGCTGAGCAGGGAATCAGACTTGGGGCTCCATCCCAGAACCCCGGGATCACGACCTGAGCTGAAGGCAGACGCTTAATCGACTGAGCCACCCAGGCGCCCCCTTAGATTGGATTTTTAAAGGGAGGACCCAAAATGAAGAAACAAACTGCAGACTCTCAGGAAGTACCTTGAAACATCTGAGCACAGTCCCACACAGAGTCACTGCTGGAAGAGATCATCAAGAAAATGTGACTGCCAGTTGACTCAGGCTGGACCTAGGCAATTGTAGGTTCCTCGCCCCCTCCTCTGTCAGAATATTCCCACAGTGGGAGCCTTGAGAGAGCAATGTTGTTGAGACCATCTGGACATTATAGGTGACGGAACCTATTGAAGGCTTCTATATAAACTTTTAAGATTCTGGTGGGCAAGTGCAGAGATCTTGCAGGCACCCAGGACAAGTCTCATAGGTCAGTTTGCTTGCTTATTAAACCCACCACCTACCAATCTGGAGTGGTCTGCTTCTTTCTTCTGTCTCTCCTTGCCCTTTGTGTACAGGGGCCAGTTTCAGATTTCACCCAGGGAACTGCCCAGGTTGTGAACCAACACTCATTTTTATTCATTAAATGTGAATTTAGTGTCTCCCATGATCAAGAATGATTCTAGGTACAAGGGATCAACCAGTGAACAAAACAAAGGGCCTCCCCTGGAGCTTAGATTCCTGTGTGTCTTGGGATGGGGTGGTGAAAGTTATAAATGTATAACAATAAAGTCAGCAAGTCAATAAATCTATAACACATCTATTGATGATAAGTGCCATGAAGAAAAATAAAACAAGGTAAGGGGACTACAGTGGAGGGAAGGGAATGCTATTTTAGATAAGGTTGTCCAGGGAAACAGCAAAGACCTAGAAGAAGAGAAGAATCAGAGATTAGGGAAAGTGAACCGGACAGAGGAACAGCCAGTTCAAAGGTCCTGGGGCAGAAAGCCAGCAGGGCTGAATCAGATGATGGGAAGTGGTGAGAAGTAAGGTCAGAAAGGAGGTGGGGGCCAGATCAAAGAACGTGTTGGAGGTCTTGGGGAAAAGCCTTGGATTTTACTTAGAAAGCCACAGGAGGTGTTTTAAGCACAGACATGAAATAACTGTCATTTTTAAAAGGTCATTCTGGGTGCTCTGTGGAAATTTTACTGTTGGTGGGCAGGGGTGGCATCAGGGAAACCAATTAGGGAACTACAGCAATAATCCAGATGAGGAGATGGTGCCTGCATAGACCAGGGTGATTTCTGAATCTGCTTTGAAGGTTGAAGGTACCTGCTGATGAACTGGTTGAGGGATGAGTGAGAAAGAAGAATGCAGTTGTCAAATACTGAAGCGAGGTAGACAGGCGAGAGCAGTAGGAGGGCTGGAATGGACTTGGCATTTGGACACACTAAGTTTATTAGGAATCAAGAAGAGATGTTGAGAAGGGAGTTGGAGATGTACGTCTGGAGTTTGTGGGAAACAATGGAGTTGGGGACACTGGAGACTTTGGTGGGGCTCATCGGCATATAAATGGTCTTCAAAGTCATGTGACTGCATGAGACTGTTAAGAGTATGACTCTCCCCCTTCCCAGGTCAACCTAACTGAGCCTGGCTGGCTCAGTCGGTGGAGCATGGGACTCTTGATCTTGGGGTTGTGGGTTCAAGACCCACGCTGGGTGTAGAGATAACTTAAAAAATAAAATCTTTAAAAAAAAAAAAGAGTATGAATGTAATTTGGAGACACTTTGCCTTTCTCATCATTGTGTCCCCACCTCCCAGGGGTGACCTTGTGAGCACACGCATACACACACATCCATACACACACACTCACACAGGGGTGCAAAAGAGCAGCTTGGGGGACAGGAGCTAGGCTCTGAGAGCAGGTCCTATGTCTCAGAGATTCATGCCACATTGGCCCTTTCCACTTCTGTGGCCTTTCTGGATCCTGAAGGGACAGCAGAACCATCAGGGCCAGCAGGGCAGGGGGATAGGCAGGGATGAGCTGGCTGAGGTCCCCTGTCCCAGGAGCAGAAGTGGCCAGCAGTCCAATGGCCCAGAGCAGACCACTACCTGGAGGTAGCAGCGGGCCAAGATGCGATGCCTCCTCCCCGCCCCCCTCAGGTTCCACACAAACCCCAGCAGTTTCCTCTCTATTCCAGCTTCCCACGTTCTCTGCAGCCAGGCCCCTGCCCACTCCAAATGGTCATTTCCCTCCCCGTCTCCTAGTCCTTTCCCCGGTCCCATCTCCTGGGCACCCCTGTCCTTCTTCTGCCTGCAACCCTGGGCCTAGTCTCCACCTATTCTCCACCCCTCCTCCAGCACCCTAGGAGATTGGCCCTTTCACTGGCTCCTGCCACTCCAGCGCCTTCCCCTGACTTCAGGCAGGACAGCCCATTGGGCCGACCCGCCAGGCCTGGAGCCTCAGCTGAACCTCCTGGTGAGTGGCAGCTTCTGGGCTGGTGGGGATTCGTCCGGCTCAGTTTTGTCTAGGGCAGGGGCACAGAGGAGGATGGAGCTGTATCCTTTTGACTCACTTAGCTTTGTTTCTTCTTTACACATCTGGCTTCCACACAGGAACACAATTACAATAGTAACACCCCTAGTAGTAGTAATAATAGTGGTGCCTGCTATTAAGACCTCCATCCCAGGGCGCCTGGGTGGCTCAGTTGGTTGAGCGGCTGCCTTCGGCTCAGGTCATGATCCTGGAGTCACAGGATCGAGTCCCACGTCGGGCTCCCTGCTCAGCAGGGAGTCTGCTTCTCCCTCTGACCCTCTTCCCTCTGGTGCTCTCTATCTCTCATTCTCTCTCTCTCAAATAAATAAATAAAATCTTAAAAAAAAAAAAAAAAGACCTCCATCCCAGGGGCACCTGGGTGGCTCTGTCAGTGTCTGCCTTCACCTGGGGTCGTGATCTTGGAGCCCTGGGATGGAGCCCAGCATCAGGCTCCCTGCTTGGTGGGGAGCCTGTTTCTCCCTCTCCCTCTGCCACTCCCCCTGCTTGTCCTTTCTCGCTGTCAAATAAATAAAATCTTAAAAAAAAAAAAAAAGACCTCCATCCCAGCACTTCCAGACATTACCTCAATTAATCCTTTCATACACTCCATGACATAGGTCTTATACCCATTTTACAGATAAGAAAACAGACTGAGAGCGGCGCCTGAGTGGGTCAGTCGTTAATCATCTGCCTTCGGCTCAGGTCATGATCCCAGGGTCCTGGAATCGAGCCCCGCATCGGGCTCCCTGCTCAGAGGGAAGCCTGCTTCTCCCTCTCCCACTCCCCCTGCTTGTGTTCCTGCTCTCGCTAACTCTCTCTCTGTAAAATAAATAAATAAAATCTTAGGAAAAAAACAGACTTGAGAGGATAAGGCCCTTGCCTGAGGTCCCATGACTAGTGGGGGCCAAGTCACACCCCGACTCTCCCCCTTCCCAGGTCCACCTAACTCCTGCTGCAGACACTTCGTGGGAATCCAGGGACCACGCTCCACCCTGCCCTTCCGCGGACTAGCTCCTTCCTCTTTCTGGGCCTCGGTTTCCGCATAGGCATAACCCGGGCTAACCACGATCTTTCCAGGTCACCCACCCGCTGCACGCGCCACTTGTCGCACAGGTGCGGTGAGCCGGCAGCCTGGCGCCGTCCCCCGGAGCCGCGCGCCCCTGGGGCACAAAGGAGAGAGCGGCAGACAGCGGCGGGCCAGGACTTTATTGCGGGGCGCCGGGAGGAGCGCAGAGCCCGGGGTCGCCGCGGTCCGAGGCCGTCTCCTCCTCCGCGGGCTCGTCGGCGAATACCGCGCGGTGCATGGCGGCGACGTAGCTGCAGCCGCTGGGGTCGGCCAGGCGCAGGTGCGCCAGGGGTAGGAAGCTCTCGGTGCTGAAGTAGCGCAGCGCTGGACGCGGTGCGCGCAGCGCGGCGAGGAAAACCTGCGGCGGCGGGGGGAAGCGCGCTGGCCGGGGGCTGGCCGGGGACCGGCCGGGGGCTGGCCGCCACCCCCCGCGCGCCGTTCCCGGTTCCGGGGCCGCGCCCGGCGCCTACCTCGGTCACCTCCTCCGGGTCCTGCGCCGCCTCGCGGAAGATCCGCTCCAAATGGCGCTGGTAGCAGGAGAAGAGGACCCGGGTCTCAGCGTCCGCGCCGTCCAGCGCCCCGCCCGGGACGCCCTCCTGCTTCTCCAGAAAGGCGGTGCGCACCGGGCCGCACTCGATGAGGCTCACGCTGCGGGCCCAGAGGGGCGAGTGGGCGGGGGCGCAGCCAGCGGGCGGGATCCCAGACCCGCCGCCCGGCAGGGCAAGGCGGGCAGGGCGGGCGGGACGGGGGTCTGTGCGCCGGCGGCGGGCGCCGAGTAACCAGAGCCTTTGAAAAGCGGCTTACTGCCGGAAAAGCACCCCTGCCTCCCCCCTCCCTCCGCCCCACAGCCATTCGGGGGTGTGAGGATTTGCATCAGATTTCCAACCTGGCAGGCTCCCTTACTGTGTGACCTTGGGCCAGTCACCTAACCTCTTCGGGCCGAGCTTCCCAGCGGGATGGCAGCAGGGGTGCGGTAACGAGTGGCAAGTGCCTTGGCACACAGTAAATGTGAGCCGCAGTGGGGAGGGGCCAGGGAGAACGCCTGAGAGAGGCTCCAACAGGACACGGTGCTGGAGTTCCCAAAGTCAGGGGTCAGGGGTCCCGGGGGCGGAGCGGTGACTCACTGGACCCCGAAGGGCGGCAGCAGAACCGCCAGACTCTCGCAAAGACCTTCGATCGCGAACTTGCTGGCGCAGTAAACGGCGTTGAACGGCAGCCCTTCGAGGGGAGAAGAGGCTTTGGAGGCGCGTCTGGGAGGGTCTCCACCGTCTGGGAGGGTCTCCACCGGGAGCCCACTGCAGCCCGTGGCACTGCCACCAGGCTCCGCCCCTCCCTCTGGCCCCGCCCCATTCCACGCACCCATCAAACCGCCCATGCTCCCGGTCACCAGTATACGTCCTGAGCGGCGGCGCTTCATGTCGGGCAGGAAGGCCTGCAGTGTCCGCACCGTCCCGGTCACGTTCACGTCCAGCACGGACCCCACGGCGCCAGCCGTATGCACCTCCAGCGGCCCAAGCAGGCCCCGCCCCGCATTACACACTGCGGGGAGAGAAGTCAGGCCCTGCCTGCCTCTCTGTCCTCGGACCCAGTAGGTCCCTGGGCCTAGGGACATTTTGGTTTGGACACAGCGTCGGAAAGGCTCCTGCACACGTGTTGCGGGGAGGCTCACCCAGCACATCCACGCGGCCCTCGGTCACGCGTGCCCGGGCAGCGGCCACAGAGTCTGCGTCCCTCACGTCCAGCTGCAATGTCTCCAGGGACCCAGGAGGGCACCCTCGGGCCCGGGCCGCCTCCCACAGAGGGCCCTGCGCCCTCAGGTCCCGCAGCGTGGCATACACTGGAGGTTCCGGAAGAAGACGAGGATCTGAATTCCCTGCTTACCCCTACCTGCGTCCCCTTGGACCTGGGCTGCTCCCTTCTCTCCATCCCAGCCCCTCATATACCTTTGAAGCTCTGCGAGGGGTCGGATGCCAGGCGCAGGGCCAGGTGCAGGCCAATGCCCGAGGAGCAGCCAGTGATGAGCACCACAGTGCGGTCCATGGGGAGACGAGTGTGGGGAGTGCAAGGCTCGGGTCTCTGAGCTAGATTACCATCTGCTCTGCTCCGCCCCCGCCCCCGCCTGCGGGGTCCCCACCCCTTGTTGTGTCTCCAGCCTAATCTCAAGGCTGAGCCCTCCTTCGGGTCTGGGGCCTACTTTCCCCATCCTGCTGCTGGTCAAGGCAGAGATGCTTGGAATACCCCTTCTTCAGTGGCTGGTCAGAAGCAGGGCAAAGCTTTGCAACTAGGAGATGTGGGCTGTCACGTGGGCACTAAGTGCCCTGGGCACATCTTCCCCTGGGTGTGCCTCTGTCCCACTGGGACAGTTATAGGTTCCAAAGTTTGCTGCTGAGGGTGTGAAAGTAAACGTTTTGGCAGGGCATTCCCAGTTCCAAGGTCGGGTGTTAGTATCAGAAATGGGGAGGCCAAAGGAAGGGGGCAGGGAGAAAGAGCCTCATCCCAGGGTCCATCCTATAGCCCTGAGTCCTCCCAGGCATCATGGTAGTGACAGTCTGACAGATAGGCCCAGGTGATTCACCAGTTTATTAAGTTGTATTAAAATAGTACTTTGATCCCAAATTTGGGGTGGTGGAGGAGGGCAGCTCACCTCCCTCCCAGTTTCCCATGCCTGATCCTCTGGCAGGTGTTGAGTTCCTTTGCCCAGGCCTGGAATTTGGGAAGCACACCACCCAGGGGTGGTTCTTCTGTCACAAGGAGCCAGCCACCAACCGGGGGTAATATTTGAGGAAGAGCTTCTTGGCCAGGTCCACAGTGTCACCTTGGGGCTGGCTGGGATACCTCCGTGTGCTGAAGACAAAGGTCTGCTCCAGCCAGAAAGCCTTCTCGTCAAACTGGTGCTGTTGGAAGGGAATGCCTTGGACCAGGCTCTCGACCAGCATGTCCACAAAGAGCTCCCAGCGCGGGGTGTAGTAGTCAGCCACCAGCCCCGCCAGCTGCTTGTTGGCATAGTCCAGGATGTTGCCCTCGGGCCCCCACAGCGTCAGCTGGTAGCGGCTGTTCCGCTCATAGAAACGGGCCTCGGCCTCACTGACGGCGGCTGCCCGGGCCTGCTCCAGCCAGCCGCCCAGCAGGAAGCGGCGGTCACTCGCCAGCACTGTGTCCAGCGCAGGCAGAAGCTCGTAGACCAGGGTGCCTGCCGCCCTGAGCAGGGGAACCAGCTCCTTGTTGAGGTAGGCGGTCCTGGCCTCCTCATAGTGGAGGCTGACCAGCTCCTGGGCCGCCTGGCGAGTGACGTCCAGCAGGTCGTAGCGGAAGGCAGGGCTCGTGGCCAGGGCAGGAGTGGCTGTCAGCAGCAAGCGCCAGGCCTCAAACACATCCGAGCGGTTGTACCAGACAGTGGTAACCATCCGCAGGGATGGCCTCCTGACCAGAGGGCTGCGATTGTGCCCAATGCAGGCCTCCCCAGAGCAATTGTAGACACTCCTGAGAAGCAGCCTCCATGCGGCCTCTGTACCCTTGTGGGCGACTCCATACCGACGGGCCGCAAAGCCGGTCACCCAGGCCTCCAAATCAGCCACCGGGTCCTTCCGCCAGCCCAGCTCGGCCATGAGGGCATAGACCACTTCGTTCTGGCCAATGCCCTCAGGGGCCATGCCCGTGCCTGCCATAGTGGAATTGGGGAAGAGGCGGGCCGCTGCAGGGCCCCGGTTCACGGCCTCCAGGGCCCCGAACAGACCGTGGTTGCCCCCAAAGTTATGCAGCATGCACCAGATAAAGGGCTGGCCGTGGAAGGAGGCCGTTCGGACGTACATGGGCTGGCTCTCAGCAAACAGGTCCAGAACCAAGAGGCGGCCACGGGGCACTGCCCCCAGCACGGCTCTCACCTGGGCCGGGCCCCAGAACTGGGGCTGGTGCTGGAAGAGCCAGCCTTGGAGCAGCCACACAGCGTCAGGGTCCACTGTGGTTGGGGCAGGGGAAGGGAGACAGAGAAGCGTACTGATGAGAGGAGAGAGAGCAGGGGAACGTTCACCCCATTCTACAGATGAGGAAACGGGGGTCCAGAGAAGTTAAATGACTCTCATCACAGACCGCTCCTTCCTCTGTAACCCCCAACCCACAGGGCACTGCATCACACACCCCCTTCCCATCGCCTCCTCCTCCCGGCTGGGAGCTCTAGAGCAGCGTGGGCAAGCTTTATGAAGCATCAAAATTACCCAGAAGTTTGCTTAAAACAGATCCCTGGGCCCAAGCCCAAGTCATTCTGATTCAGGAGAATGTGCAGACCTGACAGGCTCTGGGATGAGGCTGAGGCCCTGGGTCCTGGACCCAAGTGGGTTCCCTTCCTGGCTGACCCGGAGGCCTCCCCACCCAGCCACTGCTGACCTGACCCCTCTCTGGCCCTCCCCTGTAAGTGGCAGGAAGGAGCACTGGGTTCCTTGAGCACCAGGAAGGGCACCCACCAGCTTTGAACACATCCCCTAACCTCTGGCCCGCATTACCTCCCTCGGCTCGGAGGCAGAGGCCAAATGAAATACTTGCAACAGCTAGCATTTAATGGCACTTTCCTCTGGGCCAGGCATCATTCTGCTTATGAGGTAGCCCCATTTTACAGATGAAGCAACTGAGGCACTGGGTGGGAGGTAACTTGCTGCAAGTCACACAGGCCAGGGTCTGAGCAGGCTGTCTGGCTCCAGAGCTCACCTCCCAACCGCAGTGTGGTTAAGCGAGATGATGTGTGTGTACAAGGGCTTGGTCAACTGTCAGGTGCTGTCTCTTCCCACCCCACTGACCTCTGCCGCATCCATGTCCCTGAGGGTGAGGGGAGGCTCCCCTTCCCAGCTCCCCCTGGCACCAAACCTGTGATCATGGCCTGGTAGACAGAGGCTGTGGCTGCTGCAAGGTAGGAGGGCTCTGAGGACGGGGGCTGCATCTCGTTGAAAGTGTCGGCCCCATAGATGTGATCTGTGCCAAACTCTTTGGTCAGCTCCCGCAGGAAGAGGCTCCCAATGATAGGGAATAGAGGGTCTTCCGGAGCCAGGAGGAAGGAGCAGGAGTAGGAGCAGTTGAAGTGTCCCCAGCTGCCCAGCTGGGTGACGTTGACCTGAGGGAACACCCTAGTGGGGGAGGGGGTGGCAATCCAAACATTTACTGGAGGCTGACACAGTATTCACCACCAGCCTCACTGGCTTATCTGCAGTTTCTGGAACTCATCCCGGTCTCTCGTGCCTCTGTGCCTTTGCACAGACTGTGCCCCCTGTGGCTGGAGTCCTTTCCTCCTCCTCTGCTTATGTAGCTGGTTACTCCTCAACATCCTTTGAGTTTCACCTTATCTGTAAAGCTTCTGCTCTCTCCCCCTCCCACCGGCTGAAACAAGCAACACTCATTTTTCAAGATGTGGCCCAGTGCTGCCTCTGCTCTGAGCCCTGGCAAGCCCTGTGACAGTGGTGCAAAGCGGGTGCTCATGGGCACGAAGGAGGTGCTAACCAAGGCTGGGGGCCCCAGCAAGGCTACCCGAAGGAGGGGAGGTCTCAGCTGGGCCTCGAAGAATTTTCCCAGCCACAGGAGAGGAAGGTCAGCAAACAAGCCCAGGCCTCCATCCAGAACTTCAGTTTTTCTTTAAATCACATTTTGCAGGGAAAAATAAATTCTCTCTGAGCCAAGTTGGAGGGAAGGAGGGGAACGTTACCTGGTGAGAGCCTTGGGGACGTGCCCTGCAAAGGCAGGCAACACCGGGATCATGCCGAAGGAGCGCATGCGGTCCAGGATCCGATGCTGGGGGGAGGGGGGGGCGGGGGGGAGGGGGGGGGGGGGTGTGGCCTAAGCTGGGAGGCCCTCACTCCCCCCCTCCCCGGGGCACACAGAGTCCCCAAGGCCTAGTTAAGAGCCCCGAGGCTGGCCAAATACCACCCTCCTTGGCCGACGACTATGTACCACTGTCCAATTCTGCCCCCTTTCCTTCCCTGTCCTTTTACCTGTAGGTAAAGCTGTTTGAGGTGCCAGGAGCGGGGCAGGGGGCCACCCCAGGTGTGCAGGTTGCCCATGCGCCCCCAGGCCAGGAAGGCGGGGCCTGTGAAGTACTCATGGATCTCTGACTGGGTCAGGCCCAAGGCCAGGTACACCTGAGGAGGAGGGTGATCCCTACACATAAATACATGTAAATATATCCATCTCCGTTCATTAATTCATTCACTCAACACTCATTCATCTCTTCTCTGTGCTGAGCCCTAGAGTTACTAAGACAAAACGTGACCCTTGCCAGGAGCTCACAGTCCAGGAGAAACAGACCTGTGAACAAGTGAGTTTACTAATCAGTCAGCTCTGCTGCAAGGGTGAGGTGAGGCACAAAGGGGCTCTCCCCTAAACGGGAAAGGGGCCTTAGAAGTCCTCACGGAACAAGGTCGCCTAGAATGAGGGGTGAAGCCAGCTCTGCAGGGAGACTAAAGAGCAACCCCCCACCCAGCGCCCAGCAGCAAGAACCCTCAGGGCCCAGGCATGGAAGGGCCCAGGCAGGGCAAAGCCTGAAACTGAGGGGAGCTCCTGAGTGTTGACAGCAGCAGGTCTCCACCAGATCTGCATCTCAGAAAGGACACTGGTGGAACTTAGGAGCCAGGAGTCCTGTTCAAAGGCTCTTGGGTGTGTGTGTGGAGGGGGAGTCCTCCAAGGAGAGGGGGCAAAAGCCTGCACTGGGGCCATGAATAAGGATGAAACAGAACCCATGGAAGCAGCAGCCTGACCAGCTGTGGGGGTGGGAGAGAGGGGAGCCCGACTCCTTAGCATTTCTAGTGGGGTGCTGGGGTCCAGCCCCCAGGAAGTGCTCCTCTGTGTTCAGCTCAGCAATGGAAGCCTGTTTCCAGAGAGCTGGGGCCATCAGGCACACCACAAACACTTCTAAGTCTTTATTCTGTGTGTCAGACCCTGAGCTGTGGGGAGACAGGAACATGGGGCGGGGGGGGGGGGGACGCACCCGCTGCCAGATGGCCTCCTGGCCACTCCAGGCCAGTGCCAGGTTGATGCCATTCAGTGCCATCCAGTCCAGCTCCCAC